CTGCCCTGTGCACCCCCCCGCACCCCTGCCACAGCACCTTCTTTGGGGCCTGGCCCTGGATCTGGCGTGGCCACGTAGCCATGTCTCTCCCAGTCTGCCAGGTGCGCCGGGTCTCTGAGGAACGTGGCCGGCAGGGGCAGCCCAGCCGGGTCGTAGCAAAATACGTGCCGCCTGCTAAGGAACCAGGTCGCCACCAGGCTGGAGGCCCATGGGTGCAGCTGCCCCCCAGGCCCCCTGCAATTGGGGCAGTCACAGCAGGACCCAGAGCACAGACAGGCGCTTATCCAGGGGTAGATGCCACGGAGGGTGTCTTGTAGCCATCAGCCTGGGGCCAGGGCTGGAGCTAGGGACCCCTGGCCTGTGTTACTGGGTCCCTGCCACCTGCCTCTCAGGGGGGAGCGGGACCCTGGTGTCTGCCCCCCGTGGTGGAGCACCAAAGGATATAGAGACGGTGTTGAGCTGGGCAGGCTGGTTGGGCAGCGGCCGCAGGCAGGGGCACAAGGCAGCGGCTGGCACAAGGCTCAGCTCCCCACTGCTGCCGGCCTCAGCCACCGCAGCAGGGAGCAGCAAGCGAGTAGCACAGCCCAGCACCGGGTGCAGCTTCCTGCAGGGCACAGGGGTACCGGGGGGCCCTGGCCTGCGTGCAGCGGGAGACAACACAGGGACACGGCCCGCATCAGGGTGCAGTGTCTGCCTAGACCCCCCCAGGCTGGGATTGGGGGGAATCAGGCAGTGCCCAGACCCCATAGGCTGGAGTCAGGGGGGCACTGTGTGCTGTACAGATGCCCCAGGCCTGGATCAGGGGGTGCCAGGCGCTGTACAGACCCCCTGGTGAAACCAGGTCTCGCCATCGTGCCAGGCACTGCCCAGGCACTCATGTGCCCACAGAATCAGACACACACGTGTGCACATGCACACAGGCCCTCGCCCCCTCAACACACACACATACACACCACACACACACGTGTGCACACAGATACCTACATGCACACACAAGTGAGAAGAGGTGGCTGCCCCCCCGCCCCCCACCCCAACAGGGCACCTTGGAGCATCTGGAGGTGACAGCCCATGGAAAAAGCCATGCACACACGCAGGTGCATGCACTGCCTCCTGTTGGAGGCTTGGGGGTGGCTGGGCGGGCACTGAGGCCCCCAGGGCTGTGCCAGGCTCAGCTTGGCCGCGCACCCCGTATTTTTCCAGGGAAGTTGCTCTGGCCCCGCGGGCACTGCGGCTTGGAGCAGCCGCTGCGCTTGGCTCTCCTGCATCTGCCAGGGACTTGGGGTTGTTCCTGTACCTACCGTCCTGCCCACATTGCCTTGATCCCGGCCTGGAGGGCTTGTCCAGTACCCCACGCCCCCTGATCTTGGCCCCGGGGGGTCCATACAGTGCTTGGCCCAGCCCCAATCCTGGTCCAGAGGGTCTGTACAGCACCTGGCGCCCCCCAATCCTGGCCTGGGGGTTCATATAATGCCTGGTATAAAAGGGTCCCAGTCTTGCCCGTTAGTTACTGATCCCGGCACTCTGTACTTTTCCAGGAAGAAGCCAGCAAAGCAAGGAGCAGCTGGAGCCGCCCCTCCCCGCTCTGCGCTGGCTGGCAGAGCTCGGAGCCAGGCACCAGCCTGCAGACACCCGCCCCCGCCGTCCCGGACACCCCAAGGTCAGAGGGGCCCGTTCTGATCTCTCCACCCTGCTGCAGGGAGCTCTGCTCCTCCTGCCCCCTCAGGGAGCACCAGGTGCCCTCAGGTCCCCTGCCCGGCCAGTGCCCGGCCCCCCCTTACTGTATGTAATGCCTCCAGTCAGCCACGAGCTCGGTCCCGCTCAGGACACACACGCCAGCTTGTGACGCCTCGCTGCAGGGCAGGACACGTGTCAACATGGTACAAGCGCTGCAAACCATCATGCCCCCTGCATGGGAGCACTGTGCTACCCGCCCGACACCCTCCAGGTGCCCCTAGGCCTGGACCTGGGATACACAGGTAAACAGGTGAGAGCCACACAGGGGTCACCAGCCTACTGGGGGGGTCACGCATGTGTGTGCATGAAGTTCCCATGTGCTGTGTGTGGCATCCGCCCAGGCACAGAGGATGAGGAGGGCAGCAGGGGTCTGCGTAGCCAGGTGACGGCACCCACCCCAGGCCTGTCCCAGTGACCCGAGGCCTGGTCACCTTCTGCCCCCATGTCCCGGCCACCGCCACTTGCTCACCAGTAGGTCTGGGCAGAGATGGCGCCTTGCACATTCACGCAGTAGTGAAACCTCATCTGCAGAGAGAAGGGGGGTGGGTGGCAGAGGTCAGCACAGGCAGCTAGCCGCTAGCTGGACCCCCTAGGCTGGGATCACGGGGTGCCGGGCACCGTGCAGACCCCCCAGGCCGGGACTGGGGGGTACCAGGTGCTATACAGGCCTCCCAGGCTGGGACCAGGGGGCATTACCTTGGGACGCAGGAGGCTGACCCGGTGGATGAAGCTTTGCAGGGCCTGGCAGGCGGCTTGTAGTTCCCCAGGCTCCTCCTCCGCCTGCAAGAGCAGCATAGAGGGGCTTTGGCTACAGGCCCCAAACAGGGTCCCAGCCATGGCAAGGCTGGGGGGCAGGACCAAGCTGGTGGGCCCCCACTCAGCCTCCTGCCTGGCGCAGGGGCCTTGCCACCAAGCCACGTGGCCCCAGTCTGGCCGAGGCCCGTGGGGCTAAGCGCCCCAGAAACCAGGCTGCCCCAGCTATATTTAGGCACCCGCATCACTGGCCTACTTAGCGGCACAGCCACGTGCTGGGACCCCACGCCTGGGAGCAGCGGGTAGCGGGAGGGCTCCCAAATGGCCACCCCTGTCCCCGTTCACGTGCGTCCTGTTTGTCCTTTGTCAGCTTGAAAGGGGTTATGGGGAGGGTGGAGAAATGCCCAGTGGGACAAGGGACCCTGAGGGGTCTGCACAGCCCCCAGTGCCCCCAATCCCAGCCTAAGGGGTCTCTATGATGCCCAGTGCCCCAGTCTTGGGCTGGGGGGTTTGAACAGAACCTGGCGCAGCCTCATCTCGGACCCGCTCCCCCTGGGATGCTTGGCTGGAGGCAGCCCGGGGGCAGGACCACGCACCTGGAAGGCCAGCCGGAGCGCGTCGGGAGCCAGCAGCTCATGGCAGCACACGCAGGCGTCCCGTGGGCTGATCCACTGTACAGGGAGCTCGGCCAGCCGCCCGCCTGCGTCTGTGCGAGGGGACACACTGGTCACCCACGCCTGGGACCGCCAACCCCAGGATGGAGTGGCAGCCGGGACCCCTGGCTTCTCTTCCCCACACCGGAGGGGAGCAGGGGACAGTGGGTTAATGTAAGGGGAGCTGGGAGCCCGGACCCCTGGGTTGTCTCTAGCTTTGGGAAGGGACTGGGGGGTGACAGCCCGGACCCCTGGGATCTCTCCAGCTCCGAGATGGGAGTGGGATCTCGGGGTTTAGTGCGGGGGTGGGAGCCCGCGCAGCAGGGCTGGTTCTGGGTGCCAGGGGCTGGCATGGCCTGGGCTGCGTGCGCGGGCAGGAGAGGAGGGGGGTCCCAGGGGGGCGCTTACCTCTCCAGACTTGCTCGCCAAGGCTCCAGGCACCAAAGGGACCTTGGGCGGCAACTGTAGGAGACAGCCAGGGGGCACCATGACCCCAAGCCTGGCCCAGCAGGGACCCCAAAGCCCTCCCCCCACCCACCCCACGATGCGCTCACCACTGGTCACGCACTGGAGCCGGCTCCTGCCCGGGGCTGTGTCCGGGGCCTCGGTGCACAGCACCAGCCGGCCTCCCGCCTCCGGGGGCCCCAGCCGTACCAGGAGCTGCTCCACGACCTGCCAAAGGAGGGGGAGATGCGAGCAGGCACGGGGTGGCAGCCTCCCACTCGGGAGCCCCCGGACCCCAGGCTACGATAGCACCCAGGCGCCCGGGGTGCCAGGCCTCCACCTCTGGCTGCTCCACCCATGTGACCCCTAAGACCCCAGTCCAGCCCCCCACAGACCCATCCCACCCCGCACCATGACCCCTAAGACCCCCCACCCCGCTCC